TATATATATATATATATATATATATATATATATATATATATATCCACAGTCTGTTAACAGACATTTTGCCATCAGAACCATGGCAGGAAAAAATGGAGAAGATAGAAACACGAACTGCGATTAAAAAATGGAAACGATTTTTTTAATTTTACACGCGCCATTTTGAATTTTTGTGTTTCGTGTTTTTGTATTTCTTAAACGGGGGTTAAATGGCAGCCTGAATGTCATCAGAACTCAGTAAATGCCTATTATGTCTTGCTTAACGCACAGGGGAACGTTACTCGTCATGTTCGTTTCAAGCCTATTCTGAGTTCTCACACTTGCGGCCTGCTGATCTCTGAGGGTATCGAATCAGGGAAAATCAAACTTCTTTCCATGTCGTGCAATTAGTTTGAACTACGTTATGCACTCATGATATAACCTGGCCCCTTTGGCTTAATTGGGACTGCTTATTATTGATGTGCTCGTGACAAATTCACTTCCGTTATCATTATGCACTACGTTTATTGAGGAGATTTTTAGACTGGCGGCTATCAACTGTCGTGCCCATTTTCAAGGAACGTCAATGTGCTTTTGCGAAAATCATCATGGCATTGCCCCAAAACTCACTTGTATCATTCTTTGATGATTTATTGGTCCACGTGAGTACCGAATCACTGAAAGCCAAGCTGCTTCCTCGCTCTTCGTGGTTGCATCAACCACATATTTACTCTTCGTCAAGTTTTAGAGCCTAGGCACCCACAGACCAGCGACTATGGGGGTTTTCCTTGACTTGAAAGCCGCCTTCGCCTCTGTCGACCGCGGCAGCTTGTGACACTACCCAGCCATGAAGTGCGTGTCCGCTAAATTCCTTCCCATTATCCAGTTCCTCTATCGCGATTCACGAGGCCGTGTAAGGATCTGTGGGCAACTCTGCTTAGTTCCGCACAACAATTGGGGTTCGCCAGTTATACTATCTCTCCTTCAACTTTGTGTTCGAAGCCATCATAAATGACTCGATTTTTTTAGACTATTCTGGAGCGGAAGTTCTGCCAGGCGGCCGGTTGATGAAACTGGACTATGCAGACGGCACACTTTTCCTTGTGTCAGATGCAAAGGCTATACAAACACTATTACACAGACTTTTATGTTGCGCTGCACGCTTCGGAATGTACTTTGCATCTTCAAAGTGCAAAGCACTGCTTCAGGACTGGATCGACACGCCTCCGGTTTTAGCTCTCACCGAACAGCCACTGTAAAAGTGGTGGATCGGCTCACTTACTTTGGTGGCTGTGTCACCTCTGGTGGTCACATTACTGAAGACATTACTTCGCGTATCAGCAAGGACCGTGTGGCTTTCTAGTGGCCCAGCCATCTATGAAGACGGCGGAAAATCAGCACGTAAGTGAAAGGTAGGGTGTATAACCCTACACTATGGCCGGTGTTACTGTATGGGTCAGAGACTTGGCCAGTTCGCAATGAAGACATTAATTACTTGGCCGTGTTTGACCACTGGTGCTTGCAGATTATTGCTCACGTCTGGCGGGAACACTAGGTGAGCAACGCTGAGGTCCACCAGTTGTTTTTTGGCAAGAAGCCTTCTAGTTCCTCAACCGAGTGCTTACTGAATCTTAATCGCTTACCATGGCTAGGCCATGTTCTCCGTATGCCCGTTGATCGGCTCCTTCGGCGTACATTATACGCCGTGGCTACACCAAAATGTTGAAACCTCGAGGTGGCCAGTGCATGACATGGCATAGCAGCTTGAAGAAATTGACTGAGACTTGGTCAAGCTGGTGCATGCCATCTTTTTGGATTGGGGACTTCGGGTCCACACCAAGAGTTGGCGACCGTATCAGACTTGATGCAGTCACGAAGTCAGTGGCATTCGTGTATTCGGCATCTTTCCAACGGTTTTACTTTTTTCCATCCTTCTTGCTTTCATTTTTTGTACATTCTATTTACACCCAACCCCACTATCCTACTGGTGTTATTTGTGGTTATTCTTACGATGTGAGTCGCGGGAACTGGATCCGTCACACTTCAGTGCTCTGATAATAGTTGATCTACTGAATTTAACTTGACTGAACTTATTGGGGAGATTAGTCTTACTATAGGAATTTGCACCTGACAGCATCCACTTTGCAAGTTGTGATGTGGAGGCAACAGTCCGCGCATGTGCCTGGGAAATAAAAGGCGGGGCATCAGCAGTACGCTGGCACCGCTTACCGACGTTGCACAGCCACCGACTACCAGCAGTCACACAAAGGCTAGGTATACCATGTCGATCACACCCGCTCGTTTTCCAACCGGTGACCTCAGGATTACAACACATGCGTAAAATCCTTTTTTCCATTGGTTTGGGAAATACAGAATTATTCTGTGAGTGGTTCAGACGTTTAGTTCCATCAAAGTGAAGGCTTATGAAAAGTCCTCATCATCCTTCAATATCCCCAGCGGTGTGAAACAATGATGCCGTTGTCACATTTCTTCTTCAGCCTCGCCATTGATTAAGTCATTTGAACTGCGCCCATTGGACCGATTTACGAGACAATCACTTGCTTACCTCGGATTGACGGAAATCGGCGACAACATTGTCTTAATTCTCTACGGTTTACAAATTTGCGATGCTGTGCTGAACGGATTAGAAGTTACTTGCAACTGTTGCTGGCTGTACATTGCATTTTTTAAATGCAAAGCTTTCCCAAAGTATTGCGCTGACCCTTTATATGTATCAGCCATAAGTTGTTCAGAGATTCAGCTCCGGTGCAGCAATTTTAGCGCCTGTGAGAGAGCAGAATAAATCGTCAATTACGGTTGAGTGCATTTGCTAGTATTCGCTACGTACTGTGCTCACGCAATATGACGCTCACCTTAAAAGGTGGAGTCCTCAATGCAGTCATCTGTTCAATCCTGCTATGCGTTTGCAAGACGTGGTCCATTAGAGCTAATTGCGTGTGTTCATATTCTTATTAGCACAAGCAGAAACAAGTGTTGCGCATAGCTCTTTCATGCACTAGGCTCCGATGCGCATGCTAGTTCATCCCGCGACGTGTGTTGTTTGCGCGAACATACTGTGCATGAAACAGAAAGGAAACCAGCCGGTGGCTTATTGAAGAGGGGGCTCTCGGTTGGTACCTCTGCTTCCCTTGTTGAACTCCAGAAGGCAATGGTTACGTCTGATTGGAGGCGTTGGCATGGTCAGGAACCGATTTTATTGGCGTACGTGTTGTGTTTTTCCCTCCTGCTTAATCTCTTACAACAATCATTTCACTGTTGCGCGTAATAAAAATCACGCACATTATTTGTTCTGCTTTTGCTTTGTTTTTGTTCTTTTTACAGTCGTCGGTCGGTGTCCGCAAGCATTACACGCTTGCCTTTTACTCCGGAGACCACCGGTTCGAATCCGCGTTGGTGTGGGTGGAATCACTATCTACTCTGGACACGCTCTGCTAAATAGCTGGCATTCCTGATGAACATTATCTGTCGTTGCGCACTGATGATGTCACCTCGTCTGTTACTGGAACGTTTGCAAACTGATTGCTAAGCTCGGCGAGCTCCTGAAAACCTAAGCAGTCAACCCAAGCTACCAGTGTTTCGAGTGTCAGCGCAGCTTTTCAGCAATAGTGCTCAGGTAGAGTGACGCGGTCATTGATAAGGATGGCTAACGGATTTAATATGATGCATCGACTAGACTTCTGCATCGAGAAATTTGGGGAGCCATTCTGCCGGCACAGTGTTCCAGTTTTACCAGTTGGGTCGTCTGAACCCTCGTTGGATTTTGTGATGACAACTGGCATCATTGACGGATTCCCACAGGAACTAGTGCTACAGGGACTGAACTAGGCGCCTAACCCATTATTATCGCTGAAGTGTGGTGCTTACTCATTGATGACCTCCATGAGCACTTTCAGATACCACTTGGCGCAGTGATGGGGAGCTACCTGACTAGTGGCTACCAATCACCATCCTTATCATGAAAAAGACTCAGGGGAATTTTGTGCAACTCATCGTGGCATTAGTCCCATCAGTTACCACCAAAGTACTCATGTATGCCATGACTTGACCGCTGACAGATCTTCATGAGCGATGATTTGGTGTAACTCAGGCTACCTTCCACCTTGATAGCACTACGGTATTTGCGAACAGCGTACGATTGTCAGCCTGTCGCCGACTATATGTGGCGTCTGCCTTGTAACCCACGGATCGCAAGTCTCAAACGACTTCGCAGTATAATTTACCCGTAAGCGACTAGTTGTGGTCGGTTGGCAGCGGAGTGTCGATGCAATAATTCGGTGTGGTATTGGTGTGTTTATATTGATAGCCTACATTTGGCTTGACGCCTATCCTTGATTTCGTCGATGGCGGTCGTTGATGTTGTTATAAATTTTTGAAGGCATGTCGGTAAAATTCCTTTCCATTACGAAACCTCTATATTACAAGTATCGTGTCTGCTGGAAGCTCCTCTCTGACGCTGTCCATTCTACCCATTTTTCTTTAACCGTGATCAAAATGATCACGTGATTTCCTTATCTCTTCAGTTTCTCTTTGGGCGGTGTTTTGAAGTGTAACCTATTACCGGTACTTATTGCGGACAACACGCCACTTTTTGGATCGTGCCCATTTACTTTACAAGCATGGCTACGTAGCACTGTATGCTTGACATATACTTTATGTTTTCAAAATTTAAAGTACTGTCGTACGATTCATCGTCGCTGGGAGTAGTTTGTTGGTTTACTTATCTGGGTAGTTTTATCACTTCTGACGGCCCATCATTTATGCTTCCTGATGTGTTTAAATATGGTTATTCGAACTATTACATTTCCCATTGCCTAACCCGCTTTCTGCTTCAATTCACGGGAACAGGGTTCATTTTTTAGTAATCCCTTCATACGGACGCTTCTCTCCACTTACTATCCTCGCTTGCGAGTCGCTTACAACCTTTGCCATCACTTGTCCTGCTTATTATTTTACGCTCCTCCATGACTGAATTATCTGTACCCTCTTACTATCCTTCACCAGGCAATGATATTTCTCGAATCCAGTCCATAACCATCAGTTTGTTTTCAAGTCATCTTCAGTTCGCCAATTTTCGCGTATTTTTAAATTACCGATGCCGAAAAGTCCTTGTCGTCGCACCCTAGAACCGATTTACTCGAGTTTATATGTCGATGTACAACGAAGTGCACATACGACCGACCGAAATAACATTCTTTCTTTCTGCTGATTCTGTGTGCTCCCCCGAGGAAGTTCTCATATTAAGCAAAAATCAAAAGACTCTGAAATACAAAAGTATGCCGCATTGAATATCTTTTAGGTTTCGTTTACTTAGTATTATGTACCGCGAGATCCAGATATTCTCTATCCAAGTGCAAAGGGTCCTTAAAGCCAGGAGAGTCGATCCGAATGTGAGTTCACCTCTTGATTCTACATGTTATTTCCAGTTCTATCCAGTTACTGATTCCCACTTGTGAAAAATCCCGAAGGGACTTCTTCAAGATACAGTTTTTCGATTATCTGGATGATTCTCTGCAAGGTAAACTACCTGTAGACACTACTTGATGTCATTTTGCAAATCACTATCTTTATCGGTTCTCTTCACATCATATACGAACGTGGTGTAGTTGTTTGTTGAGAGTATACTATTTCTGACATCTACGCTTCAACGCAAATGCATATTAGTTGATGCTTCCAACAACAAGCAAACGTAGGAGCTTCGAAGAGGAGCTTGCAACTGTCTCAAAAACTGCTCCCAAGAGGATCTTCGCATATGTGAAGCGGCGCCTAAGGCCTATAGCCAATATCCCAGTGTTAGAAGGCTCAGAAGGACAGCCCCTAACATCGAGTACAGATCGTGCGTCAGCATTGGCAACGCACTTCGCCTCTGTATTCGCAAGTGACCAGGTGTCTGTAATGAGTTCGACGAGCACCGCTCCAGCCGAACTTAACAGCCTGGACTGCAATATCGAGGATGTACGCAAGATTCTAGCAAATCTTGACGGGACGAAACCTGCTGGGCCAGATGGTATACACTCACTAATCCTCAAGTCATTATCGACCATAATTGCATCTTCTGTAACTGAACTGTTTAACAGGTCACTATCCACTGGTCTACTACCGGACGACTGGAAATGCTCAATCGTAAAGCCTATCCCGAAAGGTGGTAACCCAAGTAAAGTGGATAACTACCGGCCGATCTGCCTGACGGCAGTTTTGGCAAAGACGCTCGAGAAGATCGTGAAGAAGAGCCTTCTGCAACTTCTCGAGTCGAAAAACCTGTTAACCTCCGCACAGCATAGTTTCCTGAAAGGTCGTTCGTGCATCACCAACCTACTGTTGACGAGACACGAATGGTTACAAGCGCTGAACAAAGGCCAATCGGTTGACGTCATTTACATTGACTTCAGTAAGGCTTTTGACAAGGTTAACCATGCAGTGCTTCTAGACAAACTGAGGATGTGCGGTGTTGGTGGTTCGCTGCACAAATGGATCAGCAATTTCCTTATTGATCGGAAGTGGAGAGTCCAAGTGGACAACCATCTAACTGACTGGTATCCATTAAGCACCGGCGTGCCCCAAGGCACTGTACTGGGACCGATATTGTTTCTAATCCATATAAACGATGTGCCTCAGCTACTACAATCACATTGTGCTTTGTTCGCAGATGACTTGAAAGTGTGGAGAGTAATCCGCACACTCAATGATTGCGATTTACTTCAGCAGGATCTCGACCGCCTCTCAACATGGTCTGCAGAGGTTAACCTTCCGATCAACCCTGCCAAGTCGCAATTCATGAGGTTGGGTAAGTGTGATCACGGCAGAACGTACACAGTGGCTGGTCAACCGCTGCATCCCGCTCCTTTCGTGCGCGACCTCGGTGTACTCTCACGCTGCGACCTAAAGTCTATCGACCACACGAATAGGCTGTACCAAAACAGCCTTCGGATGCTTTGGGCTCTCAGGCGCAGCTTTAGCACTTGGTCCGAAGAGATTGCTTCTCGCCTCTTCGTCTCGATAATTCGACCAATGCTAGAGTACGGCACTCCTGCATACTGTCCCATCACGCTGGGCGAGGTAGAAAAGCTTGAGCGGGTGCAGCATGTAGCCACCAGGCTGATTCCCAACTTACGAGGTATGCCATACGAAGACCGATGTAAGAAACTAGGGTTATACACCCTATCTTATCGTCGGCTGAGGGTTGACCTCATCATGACGCACCGGATATTACATCTGGGTGATTACCCCATGTTGAGACAACTACTTCATCTGCGCACACCAAGCTGCACGCGAGGACACCGGTATAAACTTATCGTCCCGGATTTGAAGCGGGTCGCCCATCAACTCTGTTTCGAACGCAGAGTGGTGAATGTCTGGAACGACCTGCCTCAGCATATAGTAGAAGCGGACACAGTGTCTAAATTTAAGATGCTACTAGACCAACAATTTGCAGAGGCAAAGTACAGAGAGCGAAACGATTAATAAAAGTTCATGTCCGAAAACGACGAATGATGCAGCTACGCAGAGCAATCTCTACTCGCTGCCTCACACCAGTTCTCAGTTCTCTATGGGACTTTTTGTCGAGTTTTAATTGCGCTGCATTGACATTCGGTTTTCCCTACAGAATCGGACCTTCGGGGTCTTCTTACTAAGGTTAGATGCTTCGGCTTGGCATGTCCGCTGGTGGCCAAGTAGTCTGCGCGCCTGGTTTGCAACCCTAAGGTCTCTGGTTCGAATCCTCGTTGAGGTGGGCGTCCTCACGGTCTACTCAGCCCTCACGCGACTGGCGGTAGTCGCGTAACAGCGAATCGCCGTTGCGGCGTACAGCTGACGATTTTTTACTATTTTTTTAGTCTGGCATCGGTAGTGACAAAGTTGGTCACCTACATTCCCATTCATCGCTTTACTCTTGAGCAAGGAGGCTGTAAATGAAAACGAACACTTTTTTCCAACCCGGATCGCATCACAGGCCAAATACTCGCTTTATGGCAAGTGCTAAATTAACACCACATACGCAGGAAATAAAAATCCCCTTTTTGTAATGTACTTCCCCGAAAAAGCGCACCCATAAAATGTGTAGTCATTTTGATCGTCATAACCCAAGCACTACAGGTTGCGTCCTGGTCTGCGCTCAGTCGCCTGACGCTTATACGACAAGTAATGACATACTCCAGGGTTGCCCTCTATTTTGTCTTATGTATAGCTTTTCCATAATCTGCACCTCGAAATATTCCGTAGTAGTATCTCACAATGCCATACTCGAATGCAACCTGGCCGACCCAATTCATACAGATAACATCGACTTTTTTGTAATAGCCTGGCGACGACGTCAACTGTCAACAAACCTCTGAATCACCTTACTTTCTGTCATGATCTTTCCACTTTAAAAGCGCAAGCACTGTTGCAGAACCACCATCTGTCCGCGTATTCTTTTGTTCTTGACAGCGACAAACTGGCATTGGTCCATAGTTGCACCAACCTTGACATTTGCATCACCATTGTCGGTTGTCTAACTGCTTAAGCTAGTACACATATTGTGAAGTCCTGGATCATCGGTATGAGCAAACAACGCCTGTATTCTCCTCTATGCATTCAATGCGCATGTATTTCTTTGAGATACTGACACTTGCGCGACGGTCCGGAGTTTGCCCAGTTTTTATCCCTACTGTGGCATCAGCAATTGTTCAAACTTATTTGTGTATAATGTCAGCTGTTCAAGCAAACCACAGCCTTGAGTTCCCTATCCTAGACTATTCTCTTGTGTCTTTCTTCAGGTGAACGGCTAATCAGCTCGACTGTGCATGTGGACTCTTCACGTATTTCTGTTAGAGCTTCGGATTCTGGTTCTTGTAGTTCATGGCGTAGTCAACCTATTGATTCGTCCACAGCACCTGGCTCGCGGACACTATCTCTGACGCGCAATGTCTATTCCCTTCCGTCCGATCAATTTGCTGCAAACTCTGCCTCTAATTCTAACTTGGCGGCCATCGATTGGAAGCCACAGACGAAAAAGTTGCAAGCAATCAGTACACACTGCAATGGTATGTCAGGACCACGAACTCTATTGCCTCGTGAACCTCATTTTCTCCCCTAACCTTTCTGGTCAACGTACCTAATGTTAGGATTATCTGGTCGCCCATTCATCGTCACGTTAGCGGTTGCTTATGCGTTTAAAAGGTTCTAAACTCACCTGCTCAACTATAACAAGTACCTTTCGAGAAGTGCAGAATCATTGAAACTGTTATGTCGACTTCCGTAGAGCGTCATTTCCCAGTGGAGTTCATGAAATCGATGTGTTGGTTCTTCTCGCTGCACCATATGCGTTTGTGTCGCTAGAGTTAACTACCTCTGGACCTTTGTTTTCACTCCTTCCGGAGCTGGTCACTAGCTTCCTTTCCACAACAAGCCGTTGTTTTTAGCTCAAAAGTACTACACCTAACCTACGACTGCATCTCAGTTCGTTTTGCGCTACAGACACCACCCACCACCTCTGTTGCCCACCTCTATTTTATGGTTTTCCAGCAGTCACTTCGCAAACACTCAGAAACCTTTCCTTCGTACCACCCGAACTATCTCTGCGGATAGGCAGAGCATACACGACTTCCATACACACAGGCCTTTACACAGTTATTTCTGACACTTCAACTTTTTGTTCTTCTGGTAATCTACGTTGTCAATACTGTAAGAGTTGTCCTCGATTTGTGCTGAATGAGATGCTGCGTCGGTGTTGAAATTTTGATTCAGCAATTGAATCAGAACTGCTCCGTTTTTTTACTTTATTCCGGACAGCTGAATTTCTTTCGTCATAGTGACATTTATTCACCTTTCGTTGCCGGACTAGGCGACATAATTGTCTGGTGACGGAACGTGGCAAACGGATCGCCCAACTCGGAAAACATTTCATTATTCACAGTAGTCACTATCACATCCACTTCTAAATGCAAGGCTACCGGTTTTTTTTACTAATTACTAGTTGCCATTGCTGTCTGTTTTTCAGTAAATGTTCTCATTATTGCTCTCTCTTTTAAAGCTATTGACAAGGCACAGACCGTGACATCATCGGGTTTGAAATCATCTTGCCATACTGTGCACACGTTTCAAAGGTGTTCCTCCTGTTTACACACCTTTGTATACTGGGTGGCATTTTTTCTCTGTCTATTTGGTGTCTGCCTCCCAATGATAACCGACGATTTGGCCTCCTTACTGCGTCATCTTCTACCGCATGATTTTACTCCCTTTGCTCCTACTTCCGCGGTATCTTCTGACACTTGCGCGGCCCCCATTGATGTCACATCTTCATCGTACTTTTCACAACGCTCTTTTGCTCATCATCAACCATTGTCTCCGGACGAGTTCACCAGACATAGCAAGCTGGCCATTTTGTCATTCAAGGCGGCCTTTTGGAACATTGTCGGAGCACTCGGTTCTCTGAACGCAATTCACTTAATTTCCAATTTCTCCTGGTTCGGTCTCGGTAAGTAATTGTCCATATCATCTAAACCTCGGTGCTTTGATCTCTGTTCGTCCACAGCTCTAGCATGCAGCCAGTCGCTGATGAGGGAATAGTTTGCGTTGACGAGATAGTGATTTATCAACACGGTGTGCTACTTTCTGTTCTTGCTGATGCGTAAGTTTGCTTGTCACTGAGTTGTACCATTCCCTTTGCGTATCTGGGGACTACCAACCTGATAATGGTGCGCTACCCAGATATATCAGTAGGACCACTCGGGGCTAAACGACACAACTCAGCTGTAGGCCATCTTCAGTCTCGATCTCATTACACATGCAGTTGTCTGTAGGTACCTGTTTTCATACTCCTCTTTCTCACCCTAATATCTCTTTTACCTGCTAGTAAGTACACTGTACGTTGTGATTTTGTTTGATACCGCACCCCAGGTGCAATCGCTCAATGCTCAAACTGCCATGCTGTAGGCAGTACTGTGTGCCAATTTTAATCCACCCGCTCTTTTTGAACAACATTGCCATATTGCTCACCTCCATTAACCATCTATTGAATTATGTCGCTAGCCTTTAATTTGGTTTCCTGTTCGTTACCTAGATTACTTTATTTTATCAATTGGGTTTCAACTCTGAATAATCTTTCACTGGCTACGCACTCTGAAATTTCCATCACGAAAGATTTCACAACCACTTGAACACGTCTAGTTTCACAGGCTTCCATCCCTTAATTCCGATATTTTCAACTGGACCTCTTTGTCACCCGATAAACGGCTGGCAGGGGTTGTCAAAACTACTGTCGAAAGAGAGAAAAAAAGATGCACTGCCTTTTAGTTTGTATTTATTATGTACACATTTGGTAAGTTAGTACTCACTCCATTCGAAACTGACTACCTGTTCCCCCGGCGTCAACCCCGACAAGGGACTCATGATATGTCACCTATTTGTCTGCACTAGGCTATGATAGCACATCTTCCCTCATTAAGGAAGCTTTTCGTGATGGAGTATTGATTTCGGCTACTTAAAACCCCTTAACTTTGTTTTCACTATTAAGCTCAAAACTTAACTACTATTCCTGACAATCCCTCGCTACCCCTCGCCGTTTCTCGATGTCACCAACAGAATGCTTCGAAACACGGACAGCTCGTGTTACCTCAATATTACTGGCCACTGGTCGATTAAGGTGAACTCCCCTCATCATGATCAAAAGCAACTCACCAGTAATTTGGAATGGTTTTTCGTTCTCGTACGACCATAAACATATGCGGAATGAAGCGTAATACGAGAGTGGGGAAAAAGGTCTACTGCAAACTTAAACGCCCATAACAAACATTGCGGGGCATGATGTCCACACCTTATCCACAACAATCACAAACAGGTGGCTATCGTGTGAAGATGAGACGACTCCAACGATGCAGCTTCCTTGAGGCTTTCATTTCACCGCGTCATAATCACCTTTACTTTGCAACTGACTCGGTGTCTTTCACACCTTAAACATGCACTCCGGTTAGGAGACAGCAGCAAAGGCGTTGATCGTGCCGGTTGTGAGCCACATCCTGCAAAATCAGGAGGCAGGCATAAAGGAGGTCGCGTAGACTTCAATCGGAAAGGCGAGACCGACCAATTACACCCAGTTTACAGGTCAATAATTTCATTCCCCGTTGCCAAGTTAACTTTTACCCACGATCTTTGAGCCATCCTAAATCTGGCAAACAAAACAAGGATCTCCTCGGTGAGCCTTGACTGAACATAAGTGTCACGTGTCCAAACCAACGCAGTTTATCCCATTTTTGTTATTGTTTTGATGAACCATCCGGTTCACTACCGTTTCGCATCTGCTGGCTCTCACCGTCGTTTTGGATAGGCTGCTCCCATCCAACACCGGCAATGCTCTGTAGGCAGCAATGGTCAAAAACATGTAGGCACCTCGAACCCTCAGATCGAAGGAGCCAAGTTTCAGTTCCATATAGTTGGACGGCCTTCACTGTGCTCTTCTGTACACGGCCTTTTGGACCGGAAGGAACCATCTGACGCCATAGATGTCGCAGATTCAAGAATACACTTCTCTCTTTCGCAGTAGATGAGCTAACTTCAGTAATCACAAGTCCATCGATACCAACAGTGCTGCCAAGATGGTTGAGTTGATCAAATACCCCAATCTCCTCGTTATCAACATCCAAGGGGTCGTCAAGTGGCTGGTGTTCTTGCAACAATATTGCACTTAGGGAGGAACAAGCAAGTTTCCATCTAAGATTAGACTGTTTAGACCACATATGCACTCTGCGGCAGGCGCTAGTGCAGCGTCACACGTACCGCAGACCGATAATGGCTGTCTCCAACACGTGAATCACTACAGCGTGAAGAACAGGCTGGGTTCCACCCTGGTCGCGGCTGCATCGCTCAGATTTTCACACTCCGTCCGATTCTCGAGCTCTGCCATGTGTAATAAAACCAACGATTGCTGTGTTCCTGTATATCCGTGCTACCTTCGATTCTGTCGACAGGACTGCATTGTGAGACTGTCTCTTGAAGAATGGTATTCCCGGGAAGTTCGTTTCTGTTTTACGTGATCCGTTTTGTCTGGCCTCGGGTAGAGTTAGGGGTTGTGGCAAGCTTTCGCCTTCCTTTGTTGTCACCAGTGGAGTTCGATAAAGATGTCCTATTTCTCCATTTTTCCTCAACTTTGCCATTGAGGATGTCCTCAAAAATGCTCTAGAAGACTTGTTGAACGTTGGCGTTAAACTCCTCCCAGGTAATCGGGGGGTTGATTTGGATTACGCTGATGATATCGTCTTGTTGGCTGACGGTCCACGGGCCGTCCAACTTGCACTTAACCGCCTGGCGATTGAAGCGTCGAAGTATGGCATACACTTTACACCATCCAACTGCAAAACACTTTTTCAAGACTGGTAAACGCCTCTACCCGCACTCACCATCGATGGGGAAACGTTAGAAGTGGTACAGAGTTTTGTCTACCTGGGATGCTACCTAACTGCTGGTGGTGCTTTTGGAAACGACGTTTCGATGCGTATCTCAAGAACTCTTCACGCCTTCATGCTGAGGCATTTATAGCACCGCCATAACATCCATCTCTCCATCAGAGGACGGGTTTATAGTGCCACTGTCCGCGCTGTACTGTTGTACGGTTGCGAGACTTGGCCTGCTCGTACCGATGACCTGCGCCGACTGTTTGTCTTCGAGAACCGTTGCATGCGGTCCATCGCCCGTGTGTGGTTGCTGAACCACGTAACCAACGCTTAAGTCAGACAGCTTGTCTTAGGTGGAGAATGCCACTCCCTCGAGACACTTGTCTCGCTGCGCCAACTACGATAGCTCGGACACGTACTGCGTATGCCTGTTCAGCGTCTTCCGCGTCGTGTTTTGTTCGCGGTCGCTGGACAGGGCTGTAGGAGGCGGTGTGGTGGGCAGCTTACAACTTGACGAAGCAGGATAAAACAGCTGGCCACGGTTGGTTCCTCCCGACTCCCTGGATAGGGTCCCAATGATGCGGAATGCAGTTGGTTGGAAACCTTGGAAGTCATGGCTCGAAACAGAAGTCAGTGGCAGGCATGTATTTCTACTTGTTGCGGTGATTCCCCTTCCCTCCCCCATTAAAAACAGCAAAAAACTCAGAAACTGTGAGTGGAAAATGGACAAAAAGTTTTTTTCTTTCTTCTTTTCCTCTAACCCTGTTTTCCTATTCCGCCATGGTCCCCGGATAGCACAATATCTGTACACAGATTGTGATATATATATATATATATATATATATATATATATATATATATATATATATATATATATATATAATAGCTGTTTCGCGATGTCGTAAATGCGTTCAACTCAATCGACCGATCCACTCCGTTCGAAACACTTCTTCCGAAAGATTTCCCCTGAAATATGTGAATAATCCACGTGTGCTGTACTCGAACACCACAGGCCTCGTCATTGTCTACGGTGACTTAACTGATGTCTTTCTGACAACAAGCGGTTCTTGCCAAGGTTGTCTAGATCCCCCATTTTCGTTCAACTTCGTCATGGACTCCATCATGAGATGTTCTCTTTTGGAAACACTATGCAGGCGTTGATGTGTTGCCAGAAGGATATTGACTATGCAACGATATTCTGTTACTGTTTAGCGATGTTGAAAAATTCTAGTCAACCCTAAATAATTCTAGAATGGTCCCATCATTTGGCATGCAATTCGCACCACCGGTGTGAAAACGGTTGTTGCAGAACCACCGGTCACTTGATGATCCATTAACTCTTGACAACGAGGAACTCGAGGTAGTTGGTCAATTCACCTACATTGTCAACTGCATTAACAACGATGAGCACATAACCACTGAAGTCAGTTCATTTATTGTAGGAGGTAACATTGCGTTCCTGAATCCACGACACCTATGACGTCATAAATGGGTTTCCCTCCTTCTGCAAGTTCGTATGTTTAAGGTCACAGGTATATCCATCCAACTATATGGGAGTGAGGCTTGGTCATTTCAGTCTGAAGCACCTTCGAGCTTTTGACCATCACTGCCTGCGGAGCACTGATGATGTCAGTTGGCACCAACGTATCCGCAACGATGATGTGCTAGTTCCTTAGAATAACAGATAACAATGAACAAGTAGCGTCGATTTGGGCACGTATTACGTATGCCCGGTCACCGTTTACTACGGAGTCTTATTTTCTTTGGCAGATGTAAGGTGGCTTAACGGTCGATGTGGGCAAAATTTGACTTGGCGGCGGGAACTGAAGCCACTGACGGCCGATCTGGGTGTTGTTGTCCCGTCTCGCCTTCCCGGCTGGAGTGCACGTGACCGGCACTGTACTTTTCTCCAGACGTTACTGAGCATCACTCGCGTTATGCCCCAATGACACCTTTGTTGTTGTCTCGTATCCAGTATACATGTTTACAGTACGTCTGACGCCGTCAGACGATGTAAACCACAAGGAAGCAATCTCCCTGATGTCTACCTTATCCTTGCATGATAGTCAGCTGTTTGTTGACCGCATGT